AAAAAAAAAAAAAAAACTTAGATGATCCTTCTGAACATGACCTGGAGCTTTTCCTGGGAAAAAATCATTCACTAAACGTCTACTGCATTGATGAAGTTCACGAAGAAGACTTAATTTCGAAGCTAATGTTAGCTAGGACATTTTAAATTGTTGAAAATGAAGGAATAAATAAAATAAAAACTGCGCGACGCATAATTACATTGACAAGTTTCGGAAACCTTTCATAATCAAAGATAGTCTAATGACAAAAATAAATTCGATACGAAGAACGTTCTTTAGAAGCGGACTTCGATCTTTCTTCTTGGTTACGTAAAGCATAAAAACGATCAAATTTCTCGGAAGTTGTCATCTACTCAAGAAAACCCTCGCATACAAGGAAACTAAATGATAACATAACTATGGTACGAACCTGGGGAATCTTCGCGGGCTTCTCCAGAAATCGACGAAATATTTCGATAAATACTTCTTGATTTTCCTGCGAATTAATTTTTTCGAAATCAGGTATTTTCGTGGATCTGAATTTCAGAAGGAACACACGTTTCGAGGTAGTTGGGAGCACATTTCGAACATCAAGGTTCCCGTCGTCATCGAAATTATTAGTCTTGACCATTTCGACGAATCCGCAGCAAAAATTCAGCTGGATTTGAAGGTCTGCAAATAAATGAATACAAATTGCGTGAATTACGTAAGAATATTCAGGAGGCCGGACGGAATTATGAATCGAATCTCAGTGGTAGTGACGAAGTCTGAATCATTGCTATCATTTAGAGAGAGTTGAGCATCATTTAGAATACCGTTCATCACAAGGCAATTTCATAAAGCACTCACCAAAATCGCACGTAGCCGGGTTTCTTCAGTCTGGATAATTTTTTTTATCTGCGAAAGAGAATGAGAAAATTTTCAAACATTTAACATGCCAACAACAAAAAATACAAAATCTGAGTTAATACAGCCAGAAATGCTGTTTTCTATAAATTTCAGACTATCCGAGCTTTCCTCAACAAAAATACACATGGTGCTTTTGGTGAGAAACATTTCTTCAGTGAACGAATTCAACCAACGTATCATGAATTTCCTCGCAGTCTTCGCTACCAAATATTTTCTAAAAATGAAAAATCTTGAGAGAATGAACACAGACTCAATATAAGTCTTGTTACTAATCATCCAATGTTTTGAAAAATGCAGACTGAAGAACTTCAAGTACCTCCAGAAGCTTATTTCAAGGCCCTGACAAAATTTCACCGTCATCCGGCATTTATATCACGTTTTTCAGCTGCAATAAACAATTTTAAAATCTACTCAAGCAACAAAAAAATCAAGATGACCCATCAACTCACCAAGAATTCGTAATCCAGATGAACCACAGCAATGCCCTGTTTAAGAAGAAGAAATAAGAAATGATGAGCTTATGGTCCACGAAAAACACAGATGAATTTCCAAAAATTCGAATAATGATAATCAGCGGTAGTGACGAATGTGTTGAAAACTCCACGAAAAATTCTCAGTAACACGAATAGTATCCATCATATTCACTATCAACCAGAGATTGTAAAAATGTCTCACCTGAAATGGACGTCGCAGTTCACAGCACGGCGAAAAACGACTTTCGCGGGCTAAAAACACATTCCTGCAAAGCGTCAGAGACGCAAATTAAAAAGTAATCGACCCAGAAATTTTATGGAAATCATTTGGATTCCTTTCACTTGCGACTCGAGGGATTTTACAGCTCTTCAACAACATAAAAAGTTCATTCGCATCCACACATTAAAGACTTCAATTTTCCCCAAACCAAATCCGTTTTAATTGCGAATACGCGGATAATTTTTGAACCAGTCCAGCATTTCTTCAAATGCAGCAAACGTACATCTCACGGTGTAAAAAATTAAAAAAAAAAGACTGCGAAAGGGCAACTCACCATGAATTGGCAATCCAGATAAACCGCAACAGCAGCCTATTAAAAACGGGGAAATGAGAAACGTTAGCTCCGTTTCCAGGTCAATGAAACACAGCCGCGTGAAATTTCTCGAAAATGAAGAGTAAAATCAGCGGTAGTGACGAATGTGTTGAAAACTCCACAGAGAAATCTCTCAGTAACACAAAAAATATCCATCATGTAAAACACCATTTTCAATACACCATCATTTTTTTTTTCCTTTCCAAAATTTCTCACCTGATGAGAAAGCGCAGCGCAGTTCAGCTCACTCAACACAAAACCAGACTCGCACACTTTCCAAACACATCCCTGCGAATGAACGAAGAGAACACACACAAAGCTGTGAAGAACTCCTACGTTTTGATTTTCTCATCATTAAACAAAAAATCGGTTTCCTCCACCAGGCAATAAGCACACACGGGGACTCTGTTGCTCCGTCGCAACACACACAAGTCAATAGCTTTCACTGACAGCTCTTCTTCTTCCTTCAAGGGTTGAGCCTCTTCGGGTCCCTCGGGAACAATGAAGTCTTCCTGATGTTATCCAGGCCCAAATACAACATGGTCACTCTTTCTAATCCAATCCCTCCTCCAGC